GAAGAAAATTGGTTGTTCGCCCAAGCTTACCTCATTTTGGCGCGGGCCATTCGAGGTTCTTGAGCAATGGTCCGATGTTCTTTATGCCGTTGCATGTGGTAGAAAGGGTGAAAGGCAAATCATCCATTGTGATAGGATGCGAAAAAAGAAGGAACAAGTTTTAAACTTTGAAAATTTAGATATTGACAACGAAGCATCTATAGATAAAGACGAGTCTGACGAAATTGACTATGAAAGCCCAATTAATGTAGATTCTGTAGAAGAATTGGTTGATGAAAATGACCATAAACGTATTCGTAGAAAACCCAAATGGTTAAATGATTATGAAACTTAGAATTATTAAGTGAAGAAGTAGCAGAGATAAGTACATTTGCTTTGTTTTTAGAATAGAGATGTAACTATTTTATTTCTTTATTATTTCAGCCAAGATGCCAAATACGAAAATTACAAAAGCTAAGGAAAACAAATGTCCCTTGTGTGATGGCGAAGTAGATGGTAGTCGCTGGAGGGAACATTTGCTAGCTTGCAATGGAGGGAGATATCCCTGCAAAATGTGTGGAAAACTTTTCAAAAAGAGGCTTTATTTGATTCATCATAAGAGGAAGTTCCACGAACAAACGGAAGATCAGCAAAAAGCAGATGAGAAGGTTAAAGTTGGTGAAGAAAAGAAAGACGAGGAAGATGAATCATGGCTTGAACAAGATCCCGGAGATGTAATTCATGAGACCCTTAGTGTCAGCGAGAGCAGTTCCCAATCTGGTGATTCGAGTAGCGAGGATGATGATGGTGATAAAGGTGCTGGTGAGCTAATGAATAATGCATGTATTGGAGATCATGGTGAAACCAAACAAGATTCACAAGATGTCAAAAGCATGAATGAAGAAGCAAGTGTTGATATCAAAGTAAAATCTCAAGAAAAAGGACGGGTAGTTCGAAAAGCCACGGCTCCAGCACCCGTGTTTGCACCCAAGAGAAGGACCCCTGTTTCTCTTCCTGAGAAACCAACACCACTTGGGAGATTTTCATTTGGATCTACAAGTACATGCACGAGAGCTACGCAAACCAATTGTGGTTGTAAAGACAGATACGTTAAGAAAAGAAAAGTTCACAAGGTGGTGTCAACGTACACCAATGACCAAAAGAACATTGTGGAAACTGTCGAAGAAGAGGAATTCTTCTATTTGGAGTGAAGAATAGTGTTTTATGACACTTTGTGTTCTGTCGAGTAACAAGTACATTGAGCAAAATGTTTATTGATAGGACTCATTCGATTATTATTTTTTTTGCGGGAATGTCAAGAGATATTGCATTACCTTTAAAACTCATTGTAAATAATTACTGGAATTTGAAGTATGTGTATTGAAAAGTAAAAGAAGAAAAAAAAATGTTTTATTTAAGTGATATGCGGGACGCATATGTTTCGGAGGCGTGGGTAATGTAGTAGAAATTTCCTTGATCAAATTAATTATATGCAAATTAGTTGTCAATCAGATGCTTCCTAGTGTATTAGCTATATAACATTAAACGTTTTAATGACTAAGACAAAGACGATGACTTAGGGTCTTTGGGTAACTATAAATACTGGCGAGCGCTGATGCTCGTAGTTAGTCTGCCAGTGGCCGCTGATCAGCGTGGATCGTGTTAAAAAGGTAAGGAATTTATTGTGCCTCATTTGCGGGTCTCAATATACTGCAGACATACCATTTGGGGTACATTAGGTCCCAAACCTATTGGAATAATATAAGTTTTATAGAGGGTGTTTGGAAACACTGCTCTGAGATATAAGGTCTGGGAGCTTTGGAAGCTCAATTAAATGATTTCAGACCTTGGATAGCTAAAGCACTAGGATAGCTCAGGAACATTAGAGGAATCATTAGAGAATCATTGCTTGTACAAATTTAGTAAATTTTATTCCACGTAATTCTCGTTTAGTTTATTTTTACCAATCAATTATTGACGTAGGCAACGTAAGGAAAATTATATATATTTCTTTTTCCATGACTGGAGAACCCACAGTACATATTACATTGGCACACAAGTACACTACACTAAGATACATAATTCTGTGTATCGGTTTTTGATTTCCATGAACGGTGTTGCCGTTGTTACTAAAAATAGAAATTTCTGTGAAATTCTTTCAAAATGCTACTCCTCCTACAGCTTTCGCCTGATTTCAATATAACTTGGCACACAAGTACACTACACTAAGATACATAATTCTGTGTATCGGTTTTTGATTTCCATGAACGGTGTTGCTGTTGTTACTAAAAATAGAAATTTCTGTGAAATTCTTTCAAAATGCTACTCTTTCTACAGTTTTGGTCTGATTTCAGTATAACTTGGCACACAAGTACACTACACTAAGATACATAATTCTGTGTATCAGTTTTTGATTTCCATGAACGGTGTTGCCGTTGTTACTAAAAATAGAAATTTCTGTGAAATTCTTTCAAAATGCTATTCCTCCTACAGTTTTGGTCTGATTTCAATATAACTTGGCACACAAGTACACTACACTAAGATACATAATTCTGTGTATCAGTTTTTGATTTCCATGAACGGTGTTGCCGTTGTTACTAAAAATAGAAATTTCTGAGAAATTCTTTCAAAATGCTATTCCTCCTACAGTGTTGGTCTGATTTCAATATAACTTGGCACACAAGTAGACTACACTAAAATACATAATTCTGTGTATCGGTTTTAGATTTCGATGAACGGTGTTGCCGTTGTTACTAAAAATAGAAATTTCTGTTAAAAACTCTCAAAATTCTACTCCAAATACAGTTTAAGTAATGTGGCATGCAAGTAGACTACACTAAGAACATAAAGAGACTTAATCAAGGATCATTATTCTTTTTATTGCTGTGGTAAAGTTTCAGTTTCCAACTTTTCTCTTCCTTTCCTGAAGTACAAGCCAGTAGAGCTTCAGTCTCCACAGAGACTTCTGGTTCGTATGTAAATTAGAAAAGTATTGCGGCAATACTGTAGCAACATTCTGGCAGTATATTGCAGCAATATTGCGGCAATATCGTTTTTCGTATGTAAATTAGATTTGCCGCAATATTGCCAGAAAGGTGTTGCGGCAATGTTGCTGCAAAGAAATTGCAGAACATGTATTAATTATTTCAGGTTTTGCAGCAGCAATATTGGGGCAACACTGCAGTACTATATACCTATATAAATTGGTATTTAATAGAAATAATGATCTATCAATCTAGCAATTAACAAACTGTGATGAGGAACATAAAAATCAATAGCATGATAAGCTACAGAGTCAGTAAGAAATAGCTACTTAAGCTTAATATGCTATTCTTTGAAAAGATAGAAAAATTTTGTTGAAAAAAGATGTGTTTTTGAAACACTATGCCCCAAGCAGCAACAAAGTTTGAAAACCCATTTTTATCATATATAGGTCACAGTCAAAGTCATAAGGTCATTGATCTTGGTGTCATTTGAAAGAACTTAATTAGTGAAATATGCATACTAAATATGAAGTCTCTATCTCTTACCCGGTATGGTTCAAAATTTATGGTGGAGGGTTAAAAAGGCTATTTTTAGCATATAAATTCATTAAGATCACAGCAGAGGTCACAAGGTCATTGACCTTGGTGTCATTTGAAAGAGCACAATTAGTGGAGAATGTATACCAAATATGAGGTTGTCATCTTTCATGGTTCAAAAGTTACCCCGGTATGTCGAAGGATCAAAAAATCTATTTTAAGCATATGGGTCACAGCCAAGGTTATTTGTCAAAGACCTTGGTGTCATTTTAAAGACCTAAATTAGTTGAGTTTGCATACTAAATATATAGTCTCTATTTCTCATGGTTTTTAAATTATGGTGAATATTCAATAAAAAAAACTATTTTTAGCATCTAGGTCACAGTCAAGGTCACAAGGTCATTGACCTTGGTGTCATTTGAAAGGACTTAATAAGTGAACTATGCATACCAAATATGAAGTCTCTATCTTTCATTGGTTCAAAAGTTATCACTTATGGCGAAGGTTAAAGTTTACAAACAGACAGGACAAAAACAATATGCACCCCCAATCTATCAATCCTTGCACATAAAAAAATGTGTACATAAAAAATATGCATATGCCACTGTGAAAATGTCCAGCAACTCTGCATTATTTTTCAAATAACCTTAATTAGCTGCCCATCACATATTCCCCAATGCCAATCAGTATAATGTATAATATATAGCTTGTTTGTAATTTCCAACATATATATAGAATCATTATTTTCTTGCAGATATTCATATTTATGCAATAAATTAATTATATATATTCATGAATTTAATTGATAAAAATGCATTCATCTTTTCCTGCAACAATGGTATGATATATATTAGACATACAAGTATAGTATACATGCATCACAATCAATAGTTGAAATACATATAATTTTTCCTATTTTATCTCCATAGAATCATTCATCTAAAAAAGAATATGGTTTTGACTTACCAAGTCTGATAATTATATACCAGAGAAGGACATTCCTATAATTCTTTCAAAAGGCCATGCCATGGAAACTGCTGAAATTCTTTTTTTCCGGCTATTCCACATTATTCAGTCTTACTAGTCTACATGTCTAATCCTATTGTACACAATTATCAACTCGAATTAACTTGATACCATTCAATAATGAAGGAAAACATGCTTGCCTTTGAATTCCCACCATTTTATTTAAAAAGAGGAAGTAAATGACTGAGCATGCTCACAAATGCCTAATGGGTAATCCTAGATCTTCTGGCAACATTCTGGCAATACTGCCAGAAAGGTTTTTTTTTTCTGGCAGTATAGCCAGAATGTCCCCAGAAGTTGTTGCCGCTAGCGGTGATATTTCACTAACCCAAAAAGCTTGTTTCTGGTGACAAAAATGTGTTGCTGCAGTGTTGCCGCAATATAGCAGCAATATTGCCGCAATAATTTTACTTTGGTAAGGGAATACATTGATGGAACTTTCAACATTTGAATTGAACCTCAGACAAACTCCATTCGATGTTTTACAGGCTGACTAAATGAAATCTATGGAGAAGCATATATTCTTGCATACTACATGGTTGACATATTCACATCTACTATGACTTTTAGTTCGATCAGCATTTGTTAAACAGATTTATTATACTTGAAAAATATACAAACATATGTCATATAAAAAGAAATACTTGAAATATATACATTGCGTAAAGATTTTTTGCATCTGTTGATAACAAGTTCAAAGCCAATTTGACTTCTAAAATCAAGCACCACTTTGCCTTGTACACTATTTTTATGCCTTTGTACAGGATATTATGCAATATTAAACTTAGACTTGGAGGGTCCTATAGGTGCTTGCTGGTACTGGCCGACTGCAGCTAGGACCACTGGGTCTTCCTTCACTGATAGATGCCTAAAAATCAAAGTGGTAATTTTACTTCCACTTTATGAGGAAAATCCTCTTTGTTACTATAATATGAAATAATATTGAATTTTTGCGGCATATATGTAATTAGCTGCATATGTATAAACATTTTTTCAAACAGAAATAGTCGATTCTCTACGAATTAATAAGACGGTTTTCTGTAGTATAACTGTGTAACTGTAAACTGGTCTAAGAGATCTTACCAACGACGTAGAAGACTGGCTGTGGCAAAAACAGTAGCTGCAGCTGCCAGTGTTCCCAACACAGCACCTGCTGCAATGGCCGCCGTGTTACCTAAAAATGAGAGTCCATGGTCATTATTGCTATAATTTTGTGTCAAATATATCATTGTTTCTTCCAGAATGCTCACTTACTTGATGACCCACTTCCAGAAGAGGAGGAGGCTGCACTATTACCTGGGAAACAGTAAGGTAGGAAAGAACGATTATTGAAAATACAAATCATGCATTTGACTCGTTTTCGTCAAAAATACATTGGAAGCTCCCTTATGCTGACAAACTTTAATCCAGATTTTGTTTAAACCTTAAACATTCTTGTGAGTTCTTATACCTGTATTTTGTGTCTGTATTGTTGTTTGTGTAGCTGTTTCTGTTGTTATTGTTGTTAATGTGGTATCTCTTTCTGTTGTTGTATCAGTGACTGTTGTCGTACCTGATGTATCAGCAATTGTTGTCGTACTTGTTGTATCAGCTATTGCTGTAGTTGATGTTGTAGTTGATGTTGTAGATGTAACAGTAGTTTGTACTGTTGTTGTGATGGAAGGATCAGGGGTTGTGGTTGGTGGGGTAGGACAATCAGCGAGTAATGTAGGGGTCACAGTACTATCTGAAATTTAAACAAAATCAAAGTCAGCTTTACTGCTACAAAGTTAAGTTCCTGAAAGTTATTTGAAAATTAAAACTTTTAACTCTTATTTCTCTTCATCCAATATCCGTGGGATTCAAATTCCATAATCTTCTTATTTTCAAAAGTCAATGTTATTTTTGAATTAACAGGTAATAAGAGTCATGAATTGACATACCGAGTTTTGGAACCAAAGCTGGAACCAGGTTACACAGGTAGACGAAGGTATCAATATAATGGACATAATAAGAATCAGGATCGTTGGCAATTCCCTTCAATTCTTCATTTGACTTGGACACTGTCGATCCTATTCCTATCGCGAACACCTCTGCTCCAACTTCCGTCCGAAGGTTTTCTGCAGCTGTTATTGTTCGAGTTCCATTATTAGACAGTCCATCTGTTAAAATCACAACCGTTCTATTGGCTCCGGTTCTTCCTCCTTTTGCAGACGTGAATGAATATTCCCTGACGTAATCAATTGCGTCATAAGTATAGGTTCTCCCTGTGGTACTTGTGCCACGTAAGTTCTTTATGGCATTCAGTAGATCTGATTTTGTTGTATGATCATTAAGATCAAATTCCTCTGTATAAGAAGAGGAAAACACCACTATGCTGACTTGCATGTCGGATGAACCGATTGCTAAGTACTCTGTGACGTTGTACACAAAGTCCACGGATTCATCAAAGTCTGTCTCCTTCACACTCCCAGATTTGTCCATTATATACACCACATCTGGTAAAAAAATTATCTGTAAATAATTTGCCAACTAACAACTACACTAAATGACAAATGAGACCACTTCACCTTATTTTCATCTACTTCCAAATTTATGTTTATATCTCTCTGATGAGTCCTTACGAAAGAAGATGCTCTGTGCCCTTTTAAACTGAAACTACTGACAAATAAGTTGATGTAGCAAAGTTTTAAATTTCTTGTCAGCATTTGTAGAATGCAATCTTCTGGGTTTTTTTTAAAATTTCATTTCATAAATGTAGTATCAAAAACAGATATTTAGACCATCACAAATGAGTCATTAAGTATCTGTACTTGAATTCAGGGCGTATATGTTAGTTGAAACTAAAATTAGTTGTTGCCCGAGTCGGGGATATTACATATAATGCAATGGATAAATATTTTGAAATTTGCATGAAATAATTTGTTAGGCTTTCAAGAGTTTGTTTTGAAGGTACATTGTCATGTAACATTTTTGTATTTTTTGTTATTAAAGATAAATGGTCATACATACTACCTTTCTTAAGCCCCTAATGGTCGTATCAAACTAGATCGTTATATAAATTATTAAAAAACCTTATAAAAGGGAGATATTGAAAACACTAGCATTAAAATTTGGAAAAGTTATAGCGAGTTTCATGTGTCTTTTGTCTGTCCGCATATTTAACCTTTTTCGTAGCTTTTTTCGAAAAAAGATGAGAGCTCATTACTGAGCAATGAATATTATCATTAACCTGAGACAGACAAGGTCAGTGCCGTGCAGCGATCTTAGTCTTCAACACGCATTCTTTATGACTTTGTAATTGAATAAGGTTAAACCATAAATGCTGCACATAGTTATGAGCAGATGGACTATATATCTATAACATTATTGTCTTGTCTATAACTTTTTGTGAGCAAAATTTGAACCAAGAGTGGATTGTGTCTTTTAAAAACGAAGTTTCAAAAGATTACATTCAAGAGAAGGGAAAGTTGCATTTATGCCAATGTTCATTTATTTATGTTCTTGCATTCATTAATATGCATCGAATAAAAAAAGTCCATGAAAAATTGATTAATAAATACCTGATAAGAACGACGCATGCAAATAATATACTAAATACAATTTGATTTTTAAACAAGAATCTAAATTAAGAAATGCCTTTTAATCGGGATAAGAAAGTGATACTGGGTGCATACACTTTCAAAATGCATGCACATGCAACTTTGCTTGCCAAAAGCTAATTCATGTAGTTGCACTCATTGATTTAACGTTTATGAATAGAATACATTAGAAATTATTTGTTTCAATATACTTGACTTGGTCCACTTTTACACAATACCACAATCCTTTACACCCCTATTACTCTAAATGACTTTAAAGCAAGTTTTGACACCGTAAAAAGTACAATTGCTATTGTTGTAAATTAAATTAGGAACAATTGTTACAACCATTTTTTTTTTATTTTTTTTGAAAATAATTTTCATTGAGAGTTATTCGATCTCATGTTTTATCCTTATATCCCTGAGCCAAATTTTTAAAGCTGGACATTGACAGGATTAGGATTTTTTGGGTGGAGAATCCAGTATAAAAGATTCCTCCACTTTTCTTTAAGAAAATAAAAAATTATCATGATAATAACACATAATTATATGTATTCTAAAATAGTTAACAGACTTTCTGTAGCTAACTCTATGTAAAATAAAATGACAGTGTAATTGTGTAAAAATGTTATCTACCTTCTCTGTGGTAAAAAGTTCTCTGAACAGAAATGAAAATTAAGTTTAGAAACAAAAAAGTGTATAAGTTAATTAGAAAAAATTACTCAAGATAGTTTTTCAATCTTTCTGTTATTATGGTAAAATATAGTATCAAAATTTTAAGGTACTCTCGACATTACTCAACAGTGAAATGGTTAAATTAAGAAATAACTGACCTTTGAAGACGGCTGAAACACACACCAAATTAACAAAATAAATAAGTATCCAATCCGTCTCCATTTCACAAATTATTATATATTAGTAAATGTCATCTTTTTTCTTTTCAAGAAACCCAACTTTAAGCAACTGTATCCTTTTTTCAAAACCCAAAGGGAAGTTTGTTATTAGTAAGCATGAAAATGTAGACCAAAGAATGTATTTAAAACACTCTCCTCCAGAACCGATTATAGAAAGCGTTGTCTGTCAATGCGATGTTGCCTTAATATACCTTTAAATTTCCTATTGTTATATTTTCTATTGATGTAAAACTGATTCATGTCAATATTTTTACAAATAATCACGTGTGGCTTGTGATACAAGCATTAATTTTTAATTGAAGAAAAACTGGCTTTCTTCTAAGTTCTTAGAACACTTACAAGAAAAATGACTGAAACTGCTGCTTTAAAGTTAAACTTACTGAAATAATTTGAAACATACCCTTTAAAATGTAAAGACTACTTTTAAAAACTGTTTTGAATTGTGGTTTTTCAAATATACACTGTAGTTATGAAGTTTATGGTTTCAGTGTTACCTACAGGACAGTAAAGAGGGGTGGGCGGCTTCAAATACATGTACTGGACAAGAGATTTACCACTGCCATATTTGAAAAAAAAATCTTAACAACACGTTTACATGTACATATTGATTTGATTCTATGATTCAGGGAGCTACGTTGCGTTCCCGTTTTCAATATCAAAATGATCAGTTATATTGACCTTAGAAATGTGGTCATATGGAACGACACATAAAAGTTTCAAGCTATTTCAGCAAGGATTTCTTGTAGATTGAAAAAAAATAAAGAAAAAGAATATGGCATCCCCCCTTAAACCGGGCTGCTTAGACCATTTATGTTTTTTGTAAAACAGGAAGACAAAAAGGTCAGCTATATTTAATAACATCGTCAATTTCACAAGAAAGAAAAAGGAGGAATTCAATTATTTAAGGGAGACGCAAAAGAAGACTAATGAATGAATAAATCATGTTTTAACCTTTCTTTACTTTCATGTCCATATCTTATTCAACACCCATTTCTATACAACTGATAATGAAGTTCTTGATATCATTAATTGGAAATGTTTGATACAAGAAAGGGCTACGTTAGAAGGAGAATATGTTTTGTATATGGTTATTGACTTTATCAAATAATGTTCAAGATATCGATTTAAAATAAATTATTTTTATCGTTAGCCAGCTAATGTCAATTAAATACATCCTGACTTCCTCTTTTAGAAACAAATTTCTATGTGTTCAAAACCTTAAAAAATCTTACAGCTTTGGTCTTACAATGGTAGCTTGGTCCTATTTATATTGTAATGCCTGAAATGAAAAAAAAATTCTTTAAAAACGGAACAAAGTACACTTATTTAACGCTCATTTTTATTTCTGGAGAATAAGTAATTTACATCACCCAAGGTATTATATCTTTATTCACTCAAATAACATACCGATATTTCAAAAATTGTTTTAGACAAGAGATAGAAAAAGGGGGTGTTTAATATAAACCGTTAAAATGCACAAAATACCTTTGGAAACTACTTTTCCCCTGATTGTTATGAAGTATGTGCATTATGGTGACGGTAAGGGGTATGGCTTCACAGTACTGGTGTAGGGATTTGCTACTGCGATATTTGAAAAAAAAAAATCATTTTTTAACACGTTTACAAGTTAATTTGATAATATTTTATATTGCTGTGTCCATTGCGTTCCCATTATCAATATCTCAATGACCAGTAATATTGACCTTTGAAATATGGTCATATGGAACGATACACAGAAGTTTCAAGCTATTTTCACAAAGATTTCTTGTGGATTGAAAGAACATTTTTAAAAAAGAATATGGCATTTACACTTTAATCAGTGATATTTTCTGCAGAATGAGAGGACAAAAAGGTAAAATATATAGTAAACAACCTCATCTGTTTCACGATAAAGAAAGAGAGGTAAGCAGCTTTTTAAGGAAGACGCAAAGGAAGGCCAATGAATGAATGAATCACGTTTTAACCTTTCTACACTTTCATGTCCATATTATTCTCATTCAACACATACAGTGGTTTATATACAATTGAGAAAAGAAGTTCTTGATATTACCTGTTGAAAATATTTGAGACAAGAACGGGCAGCGTTTGAGGGAGAGTATGTTTTGTGTATGCTTATTGACTTTATTAAATGCTGTTCAAGATATCAATGCAAAAGAAATTATTATTTTTCATCGTCAGCCATCTAATGTCAGTGAAATACATCGTGACTTCCTCTTCTAGAAACAAACTTCTATGTATTCAAAAACTTCAAAATATTACAGCTTTAGTCTTACAATGGTACCATGGTCCAATTTCATTTTGTAATGTCTGGAATGAAAAAAAAAAATCTTTAAAAACGGACCAAAGTACACGTGTTTAACATTCATTTTTATTTCTGAAGAATTCGAGGGTTGTCCGTAAAGTTCGTGGACAAGCTAAATTTTAAATAAAAGAAGTATCATTGATAATTATTATTAACGCATTTATAATCCTTTACTAAGTGTTAATTACAAAATTTTGAATTATATTCAACTTCAAATTTATAAATACAATTATGGCTTCCTTATTAGACTTCGGATGGTGACCCAGAGCACTGCAAAATTTTAATCAATAAATAATTATTTTATCACTTTATAAATTTCATTTATTTTGTAAAATTCTCCTATAACCTTTGTCAACCGCATATATTGTAAAAGCCATCTTTTCCACGGAATTTTACAAAATAAACGATACAGAATTGGCAATTTTAGAAAAAGGGACGTTTCCAGAAAAAGTAGAGCAGGGAGCAGTGATAAAATTCTGTTTAGACATCGGAAAAACAGCAACAGAGACCCATAAATTCTGCAAACAGCCGGAAAACATAGTAAAGGAAGCCGTTCTTTAGTATTTAAGTGACATGTAAGATTTTTGGACGGAATGAACAGTTTCATATATACGAGTATTTTTCAATGTTTATCAGTGTTGTCCACGAACTTTACGACCAACCCTCGCAAGTCATTCATATCGGTCAAGGTAATATCTTTATTCAATCAAATAACACACCGGTATTTCAATTTTTTTTTAGCTAGACAAGAGATACAAAGAAAAAAAGTGTTATGAATATATGTATTACTTTTAAGTGAAACTTCCTAAAAAAATTGAAATGAACCCTTTAAAATGCAAAAAAAAAATACGTTTGAAAACTACAGTAAACTCGAGTCAAGTCTATGCGTTAGGTAGACGGTAAGGGGTATATATTGCTTCACAGTAATGGGCTAGAGAGATTTGCCACTGCGATATTTGGAAAAAAAAAAAAATTTTTTAACAACAGGTTTACATGATAATTTGATTCAGAGTGCTATGTTGCGTTCCTGTTTTCAGTACCTCAATAACAAGTAATATTGTCCTTCGAAATATGGTCATATCGAACGATTCACAAAAGTTTCAACCAATTTTGTATAGATTGAATTAAAGAACATTTAAAAAAAAGAATATGGCATTTAACCCTTAATTAACCATGCAATAATACTTTCTGCAGAACGAGAGGACAAAAAGGTAAAATATAGTTAACTACCTCGTCAATTTACGTTAAAGAAAGAGAGGAATTCTTAAGGTTTTTCCACCCTCACAATTTTAATGGTTCAAAGTACAAAAACTGCATTTATTTTCATTTAATATAGTTTAAATTTATTAATTATTGCCAAAAATGTATAGGTCGCCATATCATTTAAGATGGGACACATAGATAAACAGAAGTATATGTCAACATAAACAAAAATGTACATTTTTCTGTAAATATTATGATAAACATTATGTAAAAACTGGTTCAAATGCATAATTCTGATGCTGAAAGTTCCGATATACTTGCTACTTCTAAGATAATTTTGAATTGTGAATACCAGGAAAACAATTTTACATAAGAAGTACGATAAAGAAAATGTCTCAATGAAGATACCTGAGAAGGAGCTATTGACCTTGTCAGCATTTTTTTAAAGATTGAATAATTGATTTAAAAAGTAAATAACCGTTTTTAAATTCTTTTACTTAACAATATTTATCATTGCACATCTTGAACAGCATTCTTATAAAAAATAATTGTTCTACTTGCCATGAATTTAAATTAATAACAGTTTTTGTAAAAACCTATGACATCATAGGAGGATGAAATACCTTAAGGAAGACGCAAAAAGACCATTGAATAAACGAATCATCTTTTAACCTTTCTATACTTTCAGACCCATATCTTATTCAACAAATATATACAACTGTCTGAGAAAGAAGTTGATATCACCAATTGAAAACGTTCAAGAGACAAGAAAGGGCTACCTTCGAGAGAGAATATGTTTTGTGTATGCTTATTGACTTTATTAAATACCGTTCAAAATATCAATGTAAAATAAATTACTTTTTTATCGTTAGCCATCTAATGTTAATTAAATACAACGTGACTTCCTCTTTTAGAAACAAGTTTCTATGTATTCAAAAACCTTCAAAATTTTGCAGCTTTGGTTTCACAATGATATCGTGGTCCAATTTCATATTGCAATGTGTATAATGAAAAAAAAATCTATAAAAACGGACCAAAGTACACTTGTTTAATGTTCATTCTTATTTCTAGAGGATAAGTAATTCATATCAGTAGAGGATTTATATCCTTATTCTGTCAAATAACACGCCGGTAATTCAAAAAATGTTTTAGACAAGAGATACAAAGAAAAAAAAGTGTTATAATTACATGTTTTACTTTTTTAACTTTGTTCATACTAGTTCAAAGGGTACCAGCTTGTCCCCAACCAAACTGTATTTTACACAACTTCAATTTTGGTTAAATATGGTTTAAATGTGGTTGAGGGTTGGTGATGCAATAAAAAGTTTTCATATAAATTTTAAAAACTTACTGTTATTATTTGTAGGATTTTCCAACGGAGATGGCTATAGATTTTATTAAAAAATCTCCAATTGTTTTATTGTTTATAAGTAAGGATTTCTTTTCACAGATTACTTGGTATATCATGAGTGTGGAAACCATGATCAGCTTCTGAAGATGCTCTATAGATTTTTAAGTCTTTTATTTTCATGTATTTATGTTTGCATGGATTCCCTTGTTTTACTCATCTGTTAGAGAAAGACAAATGTGATAAGTTTTGAATCAAATAAACATGTACATAGTACTACATACGTGTATCTTGTCCTTTGTTCTTAATCGTGCATTTGAAAGAACGGTATTCCTATATTTTGCTTGAATGCTCATCTCTAAGAAAAAGTACAGAAACTGAATCAGTGATTATTCGAATAGTGTTTGATAAACCAACAAATAATCAAATATAGGGATATATGAACAAATCATTTCCTTGCATTATTCTGATTGAAGAACTGCTGCATCAATACTATCATCGATTAGCGTTGCGCATCACGTTGTAAAAGAGGGACACACCAAATCAATGACCGTGTACAAAACGCAACACGTGTCGTCCTCGTCATCTTCAGAAAACTAAGAGTCAACAGATGTTCACGTGGCAAATAACTCCTTATAGACCTAAGGGATAAAGATGGCTCGTGTTTTTATTTTCCTAGTTGTGTCTCTCTCGTTTGGGGCTTCTCAGGATCTTACAACGGTTATGAATTTTGAGAAGTTTTTCCGGATGGAAGAGGAACTTCTGACTCTCTCAGATTTGATTGTGAAGCAGGAGTTACGGAGTCACGAAGAAGATGTCCATCAGTTAGCCAACATAACGGGGTCAGTATCGATCAGAGGTTTGTTAAGTTGTGTGATTTCAGCTGGAGAACTTTTAATGCACAAAGAAGTCCGTGCAACATTTTTATGAAAACAATTTTCAATTTTGATTAACATATATTGAAATTTAATATATTATTTGTAGGGTGCTTGAAAACGTTAAAGCCATTCATAAAGACGTGGGGAGGAATGTAGTAGGGTATATCAGTCATCCCATCAACCAGTTTCATTTAACCAGACGGCTTTACCATAACTGGCGGGAAATTCTACAACATATATTACATAGTGATACATGTGTGAAAGGTAAAGTTAGAATACTTATAAAAATATAAACAATAGTAACGAAAGAATCCAGATATTCATATATCAATGGAGCTCGACCACGTTTGCATGCTGTCAAATAAAAATATTTTGCTCACTAGAAGTTGGATTTTTAAGCACAATTCCTAAAATTCTGATACTATTTATAGTACTCAATATGTCATTATAATACTTTCAAGTTCTCAATATTTGCATAGTATCCAGTGTATCTAATACCATCTATATGCTTCGAGAATTTTTTTCGATTTGAATGGAAGATTCCTTAGAAAAATGACTTAAGTTTTCATTGCCTTTCAGCATTAAAAGTAAAATTACAAAATATAGAGGACAATGTCCCTAGTAAAGACGTGTTCGATACCATTGCCAGTACTATTTCTGCTCTGCAGCGGTATAAAAGCTTCACTATAGATCAGATTATGAATGGAAATATAGCAGAAGCGAAGCCGCTACAGAAACTCACTTTGGCTGACGCCTTCGACATTGCACAAGCATCTTATGAGAAGGAGGAAATGTATTATGCCATTGAGTGGTTAAAATACATTGTTGATGAAGTAAAAGCAAATCGCATCTCTGATATTGACGACCAAATATCAGCAGCTGCGGTATTTCATTTGCTATCCAATGCTTATTTTAAGGTATATAAAGGTTGAATAATTTTGAAAATTCCTAAGGATTTGCTTTTTAGGTTTCTTTATAAAATATTCCATTTGCATTTTTATATTGTTTTTAAGGCTGGTTTTATCAAAGAAGCACAGACGACATTAGCAGACTTGCTTCGTTTTGGTATGATCTTGTAAAGATTTTTTAGTGATTTTTATTACAAGTACAAAAAAATGCTCCGATTTGAATACTGTTAATCGTACAATGTAGATCCAAGCAACGCTGCTGCCAAAAGAAACCTGGAATACTTACAGATCAGCAAAGTCTTGGCCAATCCCGCCCAGTTAAAACCAAAAACACCTTCAAAGAAGAGCAGGAGACTGTACGAGGAACTTTGCAGATCAGAAGAGAAAACGGTATATTTTTATATGAATTATTATTTCATAAAAATTTTATGACCAATGCATTTGATTAACAAATAACTATAAGTTTACACGAGTTCATGAGTTAGGTTCATTTCGGCTTTACTAGCCTGTATCATTTTGTTGAATTAAAACGTTCATCGCATGAATTGTATTCTTTTAGATAATTTCAAAATCATCGAGATTAAAGTGCGTGTACTTTCCTTTGAGAAGTCCAGTTCCATACATGAAATCTGATGTCAGAGCGGAAGTATTGAACCGATCTCCTCTGATTGTCGTGTTTTACGACATGATAGATAATGGAACTGCCATGGCAATCTCTTACATGGGACACAAAAAGGTGCGAGGAGAGGGCCATTTTACCAGTACAAAACAACCGTTTCTATCTTAATAAGATATATTACTTCAAAATAATGTACCTCATTTAAATCGATACAATGAAGTTAAATGTTTTTTCTAGCTGATGGATGCCTCAACAGTGAGAAGATACTCAGACGTGAGACACAAGTATGTACATAAACCACGAAACCTGGCAGAAAGAACGCTACAAAAATGATTTCTGTATATAAATTACTAATTTTTTTTATTTTTTCAAACTTTTTTGTGTTTTGACAAAAAAATGCCTATCTCGTATTTTCTAGTGCAGCAGTTTATGACACGACTTATTGGAAATGGATTCCAAATTTACAAACCAAATTCTCCAAATTGAAATTAAGTCACTTCCCCCCAGTTTTATTTTCATACAGGGTAAGAGGACTTGTTTTAATTCCAATAATCTTATATCTTGTTAGTTATTAGGCTTTTTCTCTTTAAACTCAAGGCAATTTACAACATGTTTAAAGAAATGTTCATTTCTTCTTGCATCTAGACGTTTAATATTGGAACAGAAGGGGAATTGATGAACAACGAACTAGCGGTAAAATTTTTCTCAATGCATGTTTATTTACAACTGTTTTACTGATATCCATGCAATGAATTAGTAAAGAAAATATTTATCAGATTGTTTTCTTTTTTGTAGCAAAAAGACCAAGTCATGGGAGTTTTCATTTCATTTGTAAGCCTCTTTTTCATATTTGTGTAATCATTATTGTAAATTAAAATATTTTAATCAATTTAGTACGGCAAATAACCATCAGTCTTCAAGTTTTAAAACTTTCGTGTTGTTTTGTAGCTTACGGATTCTACAGTAGGGGGAGAGCTCGTATTTCCCTTGTCTAAGATTAAGATTCCGGTTACAAAGGTAGGTACAATCTTTTACCACGAGCTGTGTATTCTGCAATAAATTTCAATGATTCTGGCAAAGAATGGGGCAAAGGTACTCCAAAAATATATTGCAGATTTTAACCTATCACTTTCAGGGCAATGTTGTATTTGCGGAGTACAAAGCACGGATGGGGATATGTCCTGTTTACTTTGGATCTCAGTGGTGTAAGATACATGTCTTATGTCTATATGACATGTTATAATAAAAAACAAAACAAAATATATTTCTTAACAAGCTTTTTAACCATAGACACTAGACAGCTGAAACGTTAACAATTCTTCTCTAGACTTCATGCTGAGCATTATGGTTGACCTTTCGTCTATTCTATGCCCTTTCTTGTATATTACAGATGGTAGTCAAACTCTGTATGAGAAGATTCAACCAGAAATATGTCCTTTGAAGCAAAGAATCCCCAGATTTTATTGAAAGAATTAATTAACTGTGCCAAAGAGTAAATCAGAACAAGAGTAAAATCTTATAAATTTATTAACAAATTGCGTAGACTTTGCACATGCAATATTTTGAATACATGTACATGTTAATAAACAAGTTTTAAAACATATATCAAATGTATATACTATAAAAAGTATAAAGTATAAAGAAAAAAATTAACAAAATAGCTGGCATACAGAAAATGCACCTTCAAAATGCGTCCAATAAATAGCATGAATTTATAACTACTTAATAAAGCAATACAAATTATATTCATTATGTTTTAGTTGGAAAATTGTATATCATAATTTTTTGACAAATGGCCAGAATTGCGTAATCTTTGTAACCATGTATTTAATACATTTGTAATAAAGGTCTGATATTTTAGATAGTTTGTTCCTTGTTTTATTCTCACTAAGTCTGTCTTCTCTTGTCTCATGATTTCTGTGCCTCCTCTTCTTTGCCTTTATCTGGAATAACAAACACATCTGTTATATACATATAATAGTATCAATATAACATTCAAATATTAGCTAAAAACGATGCAATTCGGTAAAAATAAAATTTGAAGTCAACTGCATATAAAATAAAATCATATTGAATACTTTAACATGTTTATTCAATTAGATCATTGTACATTATTAATTTAAGTTAAATTTTGTTAAGAATTAGTGCTGAAAAAGAAGTTGAATCATGTTTATAAAGCAGTAAATAAGCATAGAATAAATAAACCTGTAAACAATAAGCACAATCTGTATACAGTTCAGGGTTATGAGTTATATACATTGTAATTGTAATATTGGTTTATCGAAGCAGTTATTGCTTATTTTTGCCAGACTTTGACAATTTAACTTTTTTATAAGGCGTAGTATGATATATGTGTAATAAAGTCGTTTCAGTAAAATTCATTATAAAAATGAATTTTGGGACAATAAAGTGGTTATGTTCAATTTCCGACATGCAGTTATGTACATGCATATACATGTATGTAAATATGATTTATGAATAAAGCTAACTCTTGATTTCAAATGGGTGGGAATATCCTAATCCTGAAAAAGAAAATTACAACAATCACATGCTAAAAATGTGGAAAAAAAAAGTAAAAAAGAAAAAAATAATACTGAAACCATTAATAAAAATGAGCTCATCAAATCAACTTCCAATATTTTTTTCTTAAATATAACTGATAGAACATCTTTGAACATTTTGTTATATACTTAATAAAATAAAGAAAAAGAGAAATCATGCAAGTTGTGTATGGGTTACTACATGTATATTATGAAGTAAGTGACATGCTTTGGTTTACACTATACATTTACATGCTTCATATGTTTCATATCCTGAAAGTGTGGAAACTTGGTTTTGAAAATCCAAGAATACGTTTCACAGAGAGTGTGGAACAAAAGGAAACTCTGATACATATAGGTATCTTCTATTTATACCATTTTTCTGTTTACATTTGAAAAAGATATAGGGAATAGAGTACACATTTAAAAAAAAATACACATACCTGCTGGCATGGGAAATGACATTTATAAAAGCAAGATATGGCGCTCATAAAATAACACATATACGTAACAGTCAAGCTAAATATTCAGCACATGCTGAAGAGGTACTCCAGTTTAATTATGCTGAAACTGGACAGTATGGGAAAAACATGCATGAGACAAGGGTGAGAAGAGGGGGTGGGATGGGGGTGCTATTTGACCTTTCTCTGAGGCCTCTGTATCATATGGCTCAACCTCTACTTTAGAATCATGTTCGGATGTTTCTAGTGGAACTGCTGAATCTTCTTCACTGATCATTTGTACGTTTGTTTCTATGTGTAAATTTACAGAGAAAATGTTAGTTGATATAAATATATATGTATAAGTAATGGCCCGTAAGTTACTGTTAAAAAGATCAATTAAACAAAAATTACATTTAAAAATGTATACATCATTATAAATTCAAACAGCATAATCTTTAAGTTAAAAAACAAAGCTGATAAAGAGCATTATTCTTGATAAAAACAAACATATAAAACACAGACTACAAAAGACGTAGGCAAAAATTAAGGCAAGGGACCATGCATGCATTTTCATTCACTCATTACTTCACATTTTCTTTTGTTAAGAAAGCTGCACATCAAATTAATCCACCTCAACATCAAATTAATCCACCCCAGCATTCCTAGCTGTTGCCATAATCGAAATTTTCTGTTAGCTAAACCAGTCACTCATTAGTCCACACATTTGTATCAACCTTTGGGATTCCCGGATTCTGATGCAGGTTTACCACTCTTTACACTTCCCGCTGAACTATGGGTCGTACTGTTCCCCTTCTGGATTCCTTTTCTGGTCACTGGGGAGGGGGTTTTCTTGGTATGTGATACATTCCCCCTGGATCCTGCCTCCTCGTGACCTCCCTTTGACCCCGCTTCAGACTCGGGCGGGTCCCTGATGCTGACTGAACGTGGGCGAGGACTAGCGGGGGGCCGGGGACTAGATCTGGCAGCTGTGGGGAGCTTGAAATCTATAGCTAAGGAGGAATTGGAAAAGGAATTCATTTGTTTGTGCAACATAAATGATCATCTTTCACTCTACAAAAGAATTTTTTCATGGCACGATTTTTGCAGTACGGGGGTATGTATCTACAAATAGAAACCTTTTATCACAACACTGAAGAAAAGGTGAAAAAATACTACAAGTACCACATTTATATATGAACAAATACGATAAAAAGTGATCATGCAAATACAGATACTGGAATGTCTGCATGAAGTGCCTCTCGTCTACAATGTGCTTAAGAAAGAAGACAACAGAGATAGAACTACATCCTATTGTCATGCTTCTTGTATCACAACATCCCATGCCTGTGGTGCAGGGACTCACCAGGATTAGTTGTTACATTTTGATCAGCCCTAATTTCCTTTCCTTCAGTGTCCTTTGATCCTTCCTCTACATTATTATCTGATTTTCCTTGTTCTGGTGTTTCCTCTTTATCCTTTTCCTCTTTATGTTCTTTTCCTGACTCCTTTTCCTTTTCCTCTGTGGCATCTACATTCAAATCCTCCTTCTTGCTATCAGACTCATCCTCTTTTCCCTCTTCCTCTTGTTTGGTCTTCTCCACTTTTTCATTACTTGATGAAGAGGTTTTCTTACTTTTAGTGCTGCTATTTGAGGTCTTTTTTGTACTCTGAACATAAGGACTTGCAGAGGATTTTTTCTTTTTCTGTTCCTCTTTAGAAGACTTCTTTTCTGCCTTTCCTGTTGCTTTAGTTTCAGTATCATCTTTTTTGTCATCACTTTCAAACAAGTCAGACTTTGAGTTGGCCTCTGAAACTTTCCTTATCTCATCATTGTCATCATCATCTGTGTCCTCCCTCTTTGAGTTGTCCTGTGCACCTTCCTTCTTGTCAACTGACACTCTCTTTTCTTGGGTGGATTTCCTCTTTGCTGGAGGGCTGGACTTTCCTTTGAGGGAAGACTTTGAGGTCTTCTTCTGTGGTTCGCCTCTGTTAGTCTGACTACTTTTTGTGGACTTCTGAGATTCCTTGCTCACCTTTCTGCTAGTGGAGCCTTTCTTACTTTCTTTCTGTTTACTCGTGGTAGACTTTGTTTTGGTGACAGACTGTGGGTGCTCAGGGCTTGGTGTTTTTGTTGGCTTGTCTTCTTTGTCTTCCTTGTCCTCTGCGTCCACTACAGGACTTTCCCCTGGCTTTGATTCAGTGCTCTGCCTTTTAGATAACCTTGAATTTGACCTTGACCCATGCTTACTGTCACCATCTGATATCCAGGAGAAAATGTTTGAGAAAGATTTTCATCAAAATGAAAGTGTACAGAACAGTCACTGTTAATCTAAATTTTATTCCCTATTTTAACATCTACCTATGATCTACCTTTTTGGAAGGATTAGTCTTATAATAGCTAAGATACCAGAAAAGAGACTTTTTTTAATGAGAAAAGTGTGTAACAACAGAGAGACAACATGATGAATCACCTTGCTGGTCCTGTTCAAAGTCGTCAGGGTAATCCTCGTCCCGGTTGTCTTAATAAGAACGTGGACAACATGTGTTATTATACAGTTTACCTTAAATTGATTGTTATTTTCCTTTATACACAAGGTTACTTTCTGTAGGTTTTAATGATTTATTCAAAATTGCAAACAAATATACTAAATTCACCAAAAATGGAGCAAAGCTTATTGCTTGACTGAAATTGCAAAAATCTGTTTGTATGATGCCTTCATACAATAAAATTCCACAGAATTTTTTTGTCTTTACAATGTATATTCTAAAATGTGAAAATGTTTTAATAATATATTAAGAAATACCATCCATTGCTTGTCAAACATAGAAATCAATCATGCATATTTTTTTTAAAAAAGGGGGGAGGGAGCAGATCATGCATGAAATATTATAATACAGTCACCTAAATTTTCTACAATATGTATCAAGCATGCAAAATAAAATCCATCTTTGACACACTGAAGAACTAAACATTCAAGAATTTTGTATAAAACACTGTCAAACAATTTTTAGCCATAATTTTTGTACTATTTTTTTATGTTTTTGATTGGCAAGTCCTTGAACACAACTCAGCATGTAAAAGTTATTGTATGATTTAAGTAATATTGTTGTTTAGCTACATTGTTTTCAATAAATAACCATTCTTATTTCTACTCGATGTGTTGTATTTGAGACTGCACAATTTCATGACAAAACCTCCATTATTCATAAAACATATTTATATAATACTAGTACCGGGGTACTTCTTAAAATTATTTGGAATTTTTAGACACACATATTTATAATATATTTATAATCTCAAAACTATTTTATACTGAAATAAACAGAATAATTGCAAAAAAGCAAATGAAGACCCTTTTCCTTTATAAATCTTATGCCAAAGCAATGTGCCACAGTAATGCCTTTCCCCACTGCTGGACAATTCAAAATTGACATTATACATATCAGTGCAATATAATAATAATAATAATAATAATACTTTATTTATAGAAGGTAACCCGATTAGTGCAAGCACTAGTCTTCCTCGGGGCCCTCTTTATAACACATATACAATGTATATACATAATAAATACAAATCACAATAAGGAGACAATAAAAAAAAAAAAAATGGACAGTACATGCATGTTACCAAATAGATAAATAAATAAATAAAACATACACATTTAAGCATAGAGAGAGAGAGAAAAAAGAAAAAATCATGTAGAACCATTGCGTTTCACGAGCAAAAAATTTGTAACACTTTTTTTAAATATTGTAAGGGATTGGGAATTCCTTATGCTTATTGGTAGCTCATTCCAGATTATAACTCCTGAATATTGTAAAGAATATTTAAATAAGTTAGTTTTATATTTTGGTAATCGCAGTTCGGAGTTTGTTTCAGAGCGTAACGTGTATGATCCAGAGCTTTGAAATTCAAAAAGATTATGCATATAATCCGGAGACATACCATTAAGTATTTTGAACATTAGAATGCTTTTCTGTAAATATAAAAGTTCATAAACAGTTAGCCAACCTAAAGTGTTAAATAAAGGCATTGAAGGTGTATCATATTTTTCATTTAAAATAATCCTAGCCGCTCGTTTTTGTAATCTGTAGACTCTATCCACGTGCGTTTGAGGACAGTTGCCCCAAATGGACAGACAATATAAAATTGATGGTAGAATAAAAGCATTATAAAATAGTTTTCTAGTATGCATTGGAAGAAACTTTTTGATTTTTCGTAAAGTGAATATCTTATATGTAAGTGTTTTGCAAACTGCATCTACATGACAAGTATATTGTAGATTATGATCGATGTGAATGCCTAATAATTTGTGCATTTCTACATTTTCAAGAGTATGTCCGGAAAGTTGTAAATGAAAATTAACATTTTCTAATTTAGATTTCTTTTGTTGTGTTCCCATTAGCATACACTTTGTTTTGTCAGTATTTATAATCATCTGATTTTGTTGGCACCATTTTTGTAGTTGATTGAGTTCATGATTTAGAGTTGTTTCAATATGTGAAATACTATTGCCATGAAAATGCATTGTAGTGTCATCAGCAAACATATCAATATTACAATGTTCAACACATAATGGTAAATCATTAATATACAATAGAAACAACAAAGGACCTAAAATAGAGCCCTGTGGCACACCTGCTGTGACTGGCAGTGATTCAGATATGTATGCACCAATTTTTACACTTTGTGTTCGATCATATAAGTATGATTGAAACCATTTAATTGATATTGGATCGAAATGATAGCATTTAAGTTTTCTAATTAGTATATCGTGATTAACAAGATCAAATGCTTTGCTAAAATCCAAATAAGTAATGCCAACAAAATTTCCTTGATCTATTGCATGCAGCCAATTATCGGTTAGTTTTGTGAGAGCTGTCTGGCATGAGTGAAATTCTCTAAATCCAGATTGTGCTTTCATTAGTAAATCAAAGTGAGAAGTAAAAATACGTATATTTTCTGCTACATGCTTCTCTAAAATTTTCGACATAGTTGGTAAAATTGAGATTGGGCGATAGTTTCCTGGGTCTGATTTATTGCCGTTTTTGAACAGGGGAGTTACTTTTGCGACTTTTAACTGTGAAGGAAAAGATCCTTTGATTATGCTAGAATTTATTAGGTGTGTTAGTGGTTTAGATATTACACTGGCTGAAAGTTTAAGCAATCTAGGTCCAAGAAAGTCTATGCCAGCAGATTTGTTTACATCTAGTCTTTTTAACATTTCAGATACCTTTTCTTCATTAATCAAGGGAATTTTAAAAAAGTCTTGATCTCCAAGTTTCGACTCCGTGTATCTTTTCAATTTGTCTGACTCAAATGTGGTAGACGAAAGATTATTCAACAATTTCTTCGGAATTTGGGCAAAATGTTCATTAAAGGCATTTGCAATATCCTGTAAATTATCAAGATCTAAGCCGTTATATATTATATTGGAAGGATACAAGTTTTTGTCTGATTTTGAGGCCAGATGATTTAAGTGACCCCACATTTCCTTTGAAGTAGAACTATTTTCAATTACTTCCTTATAATATGTAGATTTTGCATTATTTATTAAATATGTGACTTTGTTCCTCCAAAGCTTAAAATTCTCCATGTCTCCCTGTTTATGATATTGATCTCGTAAATTCCTAGCATTATTTATTTCTGGAGTTAACCATTTAGTGCGGATTTCAGATTTCACACGCTTAGTTTTTACTTTTGCATGCTTATTGATTACAGCATTGAAAATATCATAAAAACAGTTTAAAATGTCATTAGGGTCATGCAGTTGAATTAATTCATCAAAATTTGCATTGTTTAAATCAAGCAAAAAATCTGTTTCATTAAAATTTTTGAAGTCACGATATTGTATTTCAGTATGTTTGCCTTTGCGTTGCATGCTGTTAGATCTTCGTGTGGCACATATAGGATAATGATCAGACATCGCTACAGGGGGTACTGCTATTTCACATATGTTAGCAGGGTGCGTAGTGTAGAAATGGTCAATAAGAGTTTTAGAGCTATTAGTAATTCTTGTTGGGGTGTTAATTAATTGTGTTAGTCCAAAATCTACAATTGCAGAAGACCAACTCCGCGGGGGTTCTTTGAGCATATCAATATTGAGATCACCTGCAATAATCACTTCCTGGTCGTCACAGCAGGTAGCGCACTGTAACTCTTGGACAAAATCATCTACCCAGCAGGAGGGGGCAGATGGTGGACGGTAAACTGAACAATAAAGAATAGGTTTAGAATTTTTAAGATTAATTTCAAGCCACATTGTTTCAATATTGCTAATTTCCAAATCCTTACGGCGTTTATACTTTAATTCATTTGAAATAAATGTAACAAGTCCACCACCAGCCTTTCCTACTCGGTCTTTTCTTTCAAAACAATATCCCTTTATATTTATCATACAATCATTAATATTTTCATTAAGAAATGTTTCACATAAGGAAAATATATCAATGTAAAGCTCATCTTGTAAATACAAAACCAATTCATCAAATTTTGGCAAAATATGACACACATTCAAATTGACAAAATGTAGACCCTTTTTCATTAAACCTAGATTTGATTTACATATATTTTGTTTTATTTTATTTTGAGTATCAGATTTTGGAGAAGAATTTTTAAGATTTGTTTGTTGAAGATTAGAAAAAGTGTTTACCTTATTCATACAGGTATCTGTCAGTTCTGATGGAGAATTTAAATCAGTTGAACAATTACTAGATTTGTTTTGAGCATTTAAACACTTTTTGAAAATTTTAGGGGTAAACAAGTAGGGATTACATGTGCAATCAACATTGTTACAATCATCACATAAATTATATAAAATTGAGTATTTATTGTTATTTACTGGGGAGAAAAAGTTATGCGAGACAATAAGATCGGTATTTTCACGATTTTGTTTTACGGCGTTCCTTTCATTGCCGGTTTCCTAAAAGGAACAAAACTTTTGCTTATGCCCCATTTTTCCACATTGCCAACACGACACTTTTTTCCCATGTCGACAGTTCCGAGTTGTATGGCCCTCTTCTCCGCAAAAGAAACAAATACAATTCCTAACTGTAAATGAATCGTCATGGATAATGTATTCCTTTTGTTTAAGAATAGGAACACACTGGTTGATGTTCTTTAATAATTCCGCTGTGCCTTTGTCAGACAAGTGAATTCCGTCTTTCCAGTAGAGCTCATTTGCTTGATTTTTTCGACTCCTTTTCCTTTTCCTCTGAAAGATTTGCTCATTGGGATAAGAGTAGCTCCGTACTCTTTGCACACATATCTAATAATTTCATTCACTTCACTCACATTTGCATCTCTACGTGGTAAGACTTCGGAGAGGTACACTTGTATTCCCGGGTGCCGTTTTTGTAGATCGCAAATAATTTCCATGAAGTCATTTTCAGTTGATTCCGGATCGCGGTTACTTGATACATCATTCCCACCCGCCTGAATGACAATATTACGGAAGGGTGACACATCCATTTTGGCCAATTTTGCTTTTATATGCGATACCTTGGCTCCTCTGTTTGTAGAAACTTTCACAGATTTATTTAATCCACGAGTTCTCACTCTTTGCAGGATTGAACTTCCAATTATGAGGGATGATCCACTTCGTAATTGTAGTTCTTCTTCATTTTTTGTTGTGTTTTGGGCTTTGGGTGTTTCCTCAACTAATTTTGCACGTTCTGTGGGGCATATATCTGTGTTTGTGCTCGTTTCAGTCATACTTTTAATGGTGTTGCACTGCACATGTCTAGAAATGCCGCTAGACAACGTTGTAAGCCTCTCTGTAGATGTCTCCTTATGTTTGACTGCCAGTTTGTATGTTTGCGTACTGGCAGACACAGACAATTTGGTATCTTTAGAGTTCAATTTCTCTTTTAGTTTTTCTACCTCAAGGGTGAGGAATTTAACAGTCTCAGTCAGCTGTTTTATCGTAGCTGCACTATTGCAGTTACTGCATTCACCGAGTTCATTGTTTTTACATTTTTTATCGATAGCTTTTGGTGTTGAAGCTAACTGGGGCTGTGGCTGAGTAGATATTTCAGCGATGATAGGTTCCACATCATCTACAAGTTCTTGCAGGAATTTTTTGTACCAGGTGAAAGCAGCATCTCCTTGGATATGGAGAGAGTCTGTTGATTTGTAGAGCGTTACCGTTACAGATTTACAAGGAGTCTTATAAATCCATCCATTTCTGTTACTCCGATTGTAGAATATAAGGTTCTTCTGCAGGAGTCTTGATATTTTAGAATATCCCTCATTTTCAAAAGTAATTGTAACACTCTCATTGTTAAGCTTCACTTTTATATAATCTGGTATACTCACATCTTCTGGGGTCGATTCATTTTGACTGTTAACAAATGAACTTGAGAGTCCACTAAAAGAGTCCAGAATTGATCTAAAAAAACTTGTATTTTCACTAAGATCCATTTTTATCCATTGTGTAGTTATTATCTCCAATAGAATCTTAATTGAGAGATAAGAGCATCAGAAAACACGTCTGCTCACCTTGACTGTCTTATCAGTTTTTTTTTTTTTTTTTTTTTTTTTTGTTTTTTTTTTTTTTTTTTTTTTTTTTTTTTTTGAGAACTGAAATTCAATGTAAAAAATACTTCTTTGACAGAGAGAGTACTTTTGACACAAAATATTGACAGAGAAGTATAATATATAGATATGGCCAGATACATATAGATAAGATGCAAACAACACAGAGGTGGCTATAGAACTGCTCCTTGTATAATACCTTTATCTTCACCGTCTTTACTATGTTTACTCCTCTTGTCATCTTGATCACTTTCATTTCCCTTATCTTAGTAATTTTAAAACAAGAAATACTTATAATAAATTTAATGGCTGATATTTTTAGATTGAGGTTTTTGATGTCAAAATAACAAGGTATGTATAACAGTTGCTTTCAATTTATTTTGAATTTTATAAAATTACCAAAGAATTTTTCAATAAAATCAATTTGATAGTAATGATATTGTTGTTTGTATATGTACTACGTATTCAACTCAACAGGTTTGCCTGCAGAATTTTGTTTAAATAAGTGAAATGAATTGGTGAAATAAAATTGAATTTTCTATGAACTCAACCTTTTAATAATCACTATCTAACATAATTACCTGAGGCTTGACTGGTGGCCCCTTTCCTGTCCCCTGCTGATTTTGTGGACCCTCTGTCATCTTCGTCTTTCTCCTCCCCCTCCTTCACTCCCTGCACTATCCTGTTATTGACCTCCTCCATGGCCTTTTTAATGGCTGCCTCTGCCGGGCCATCATTAAGTTTTTTGGCCAGTTCTAATGATCTTTCAAATGATTCTGCTGCTGATTGTAAATCTCCTAATTTAACTGTAAGACAGACATTCAAAGTCTTAGCCAGTTATTGATTCTTTTTTATAAAATTGTAGTGATAATCCTTTCTCCAATTTGAGGACATTCAATAAGCTTTCAAAAGAAAATTATTGTGAGAAGGAGTGTATTGTGAATGTATATGTATAGTATATGATGTTTATAAATTTTAAATCAAATCTGCAGATGAATGAAAATTCACAAATCGCAAGTGAATTCACCTCTTCATCATATGACTTTTTTAAAAGTGAAGACATCATTATTACAATATCAACTGATAGACAGATTCAACATGTATTTCTTTTTTTGAGTACCCACCCTCTGACTGAGCTACTAAGACACTAGCGTGGAGCTGCCATCCATCGTCCTCGGCTTCCTTTGCTGCCTGTATTGCTTTCTCTCCAAAGTCTCGAGAGTCCTGACATTTTTGTAATTCTAGGTAACACCGACCAATTTCATGGTACAGCCAGGTGCTCTCTAGTGGAGATTTACTCATAGGTAATTTTTCCTGCCATCTACAAATTTTGAAAAGGTAATTTAAGCCATACAGTGTAAGGCCTTGGAGGCTAATGTGGATAACCATGTCCAGCAAATTTGAAATATTTTTTTAAGGTAAGTTAGGCACTTTGTCTAAATGTTATGTTTTTCCTATATATGTATTAAAGTTGATTAATATACATTTAAATTTGTTTCAGATGGTGTTGTTCTGTATAGAAAATATAAAAAATACATATCATATATCATTCTGTTGATCAGTTGATATATAAAGATTTTGTACATTATGGGTCAGGTATTATAATAAATTATATAATTATGGCACATGCTTTGAAAGTAGTGTACAAAAACCTTATTCCATTAAAAGTTGAATTGATTTTAGAAATCAATCATCCCTGAATATGACTGAACACTAAAAAAAGTAAACACATCTCTTGATAACTGACTTTAGATCAATTTTTCTGGTTTTTGTACACTCCCCTTGTATTACTATTTAATTGTCTGAATCACACTATTTTACCCACATTTCAAGAATACTACAATAAAAGCAAAGTGTTGAAATGATAAAACTTCTTAACAACTACACATAGATTAAATTATTTATACTTTCACCAAGACATTAGTGCTAATGAATGCAATATCCAGAACATAAAAGTTCTCTATATCTGTATAGAAGTCAAAACAGTGCTTCTCAAAAATGGGTAAAATTCCTTCTATAATATGGACCAAGTAAAAATAATAAATAAAGATAACTTACACTTCTATAGCTTTCTCATAATTTCCTTTACGAGCATATACTCTTCCTAGGTTATCCAAAGCTCTTGAACAGGCATCCTCCAAATCACTGCAAATAAGCATCAGAGAGTATAAATATCTTGCATAATAAAATATACATCTATTTATATATACTGAGAATTAAGAAATTTGAATTACTTTTTAATTAACAAAACACTTAAATCAAAACATCTTTGATCTGTAAATAAATGTGTATTTTGTTACTTTTCTTTGGCGAGTCTGAGGTCCTCTTCGTGGTGTTTCAGAGATTCGTTGTATTTGCCGAGCTCTAGGTAGGCGTTTCCGATCTGACTGTGGATGTTAGCTAAGATCTCTGCCTTGTTCTGAAGCTGATCTTCACTCATGTTCTCCACCGTCTTCAGTGTTTTCTTGGCCTTCTGTAAACTTTCTTCGTATCTCTCCTTTGATTGATCTACAAGAAATATTCAAGTAAATTGATATACCGGTAATCAGAGTGTAGTGTATATAGCAGTGTCTATGATTAAAAACAATTAACACTTCAAAATATGTTTTTTTTCCTAGTATCAAGGCATTTAAACTCATTTAAAAAATAGATAAAACAGTACATGTAATGTCTTTCACTAGACAACTTTGAATCATTGAATCTTTTGGGAAATATGAAATATCATTTTCAGGAATGCAGCTTGATGAAACTGACCATCATCAATATCCTCCAGACACCTGAGTAGGTAGCTGGTGGGGTCTTTGTTTCGGGCCTTGGCGCTCTTTCCCTGCTTATCCTTGTCACGATTACGAGCATACATTGGTTTCTGCTGCCGCCAGAAGTCAGCTCTGGCATTTAAATAGTCTAATCCATCATATATCTTCTCCCTTATGCCTTTGTTTGTGGGGTTGCTGTCATTTGTTAAACCTTGTAAAATATAAACAACTTGCATAAAAAATAAATAAAACTTTCTCCTTCAAAGGGCATATAAGCTATACAGCCTGATTTGTTTGTTTTGAACATATTTTATTGTATGATTTATACAAAGGGATTGGTTACAAGTTCTTACAACTTAAAAAAAACCTTTCCCTGAAAAAAAAATAGCCTGAAATAAATACATGAAAAATATGGAAGAAAAAATGGCACCTGAATTAAAAATCATTTTTTTAATAATTAATTTTTCTTAAACATCCTAAAAAATTATACTAATCATTACATCCTAAGGTACATACTGTCCTCATTGAGAAGTTTTTCCAGGAAGTCCTTGTCTCCGTACAGTTCTCCCAGGAGCTGTTTGATGGTTTTCTGGTCCCCACTTCCCTGAGGTTTTTGTCTCTCTTTGGCTGCCTCTTTTTTAGCACCAGGCTTTCCATATGTTCCACCAGTTTTCTTTGATTTGGCCTGAAAGATCATAAAAGTATTATTAGCTGTGAACTATATTTCAATTTTAAGATATACAATTTACATTGGAAGCATTTGTGAAAAAAGAAATTTTATATGCAGTGAAACACCTAACAATAACAAACAAAAGTTATACATTGCTATTTTTACATGTATAAGCATTTCTAAAAGCCTCTTTCCACATCATGATTTATGTCTAATAATTTACTAATAAACCACATATATCTCAAAGAAATTGGAGGAAAATTGCCAGTTATGTTAATTATTTCAACCAAATGAAAATGTGCAGTAATGTAAAAGTAAAAGTGACTGAAATTCAGAAACAATTGGTGAATTTATCTTATCACTGGTGCTTTATGATATAGTATCTTGAAATACTGAAAAAATAATCAAATGCTTTTGGAAAATGCATGGTGTAATCCCAAACCACCAATTTGAAGGACAGCTACAGAGCTTTTGAAACCAAGGAAAATGAAAAAGGGAATGGCCCTATAATTTGGATCAGGTCATGTGCAAGAGTATACCGGTAACTGGATTGAATTAGAAGGAAAAATGCACAACCAAAATCCCACCTAAAACCTCGAATGAGAAAATAATGATACAAGTACCTTCTTTGCCTGTGAGAAAACAATGGAAGAAAAGAAATTTTAAATGACAACACACAGCAAAGAAAATGAACATAGAATGGCTGTGATATTAAAAGTGAATTTTTATTTTACTTAAAAAAATGAAAACTGGGGTGAATATTAAATATGTTTTACATTAAAGTTGAATGGTCATACTTTTAATAAAAACATTGAAATTCTTTTTTCTTAGCTTAATTACCTGATACTTTGTAAATCTTGCTTAAAAATATTCATACCACGAGAGTTTTTGGATGATCTCAAATGTTGCAATTATAGATTGCAAAAAATTGATTTTATAATGTTGCAATTATAGATTGCAAAAAATTGATTTTATAAATGCCTCGATCCTCTTTCCACTAGCTTAGATATGTAGTTTTTACTGTTCATTGACATATAAATAGACATAATTGTAAATATGTAAATGTAGACAACTACTGGTAAATGGATTCATTGCCATTGTAGTAATGACATATCTCTACAATAAAACATATATGAACATATCAATAATACATCAGTATTTAAGACAACAAAATATAAAGAATCTACATCTACAATATATTTTCTAAAAAATATAGTCTTGTAGAGAACAAGAAAGCAAGAAATTAAATGACAGGAAATTCTACAACACACTCTTTTCATTACCTTGGCCTTTTCATCCTATACAATACAACATGCTTATACTAGAGATCATACGATAAGCAGTAAAACATACAACAGCAGATCAAACATGCTCAAGCTTGTACAGACTCTTTAGTGTGTTTGTCTGTGTATAGAAAGGTATATTAGTGAAACACCGCAAATCTTTTTTTGATTACACATTTCTTATTTATGTGAAATGGCAATGACAGTGAGTTTATGGATAGATGGGTAAATCTTATTTTCTGCATGAATGGCTACATTTATAATATGCACTGGACTATAGAAATTATATCAATTCTGAGGGAAAGCAAATTAGCATGCCTTTTCCTTTTCCATGCAACAATCTGCTTTATTTCCTTGTCTGTCAGTATTTTATTGTACGATTTAGATTTTTGTATATATTCACTCAATTTGATTTATATAACACTGCAAATCATTCAGTTATGTTTGAATATATGTTTTTCCAATGCACTGACTTTTTACAGGAGTTTAATTTTGAAAATTAAGATAAAATCTTAATTTTAATACTTAATTAAAGTAACAAGTCTGCATTGAAAAGACACATCCCTGACCCAATGAAAAAAAATAAACAATTTACCACTGGAAATAACTGTTGAAAATTCAATTTCAATTTCAAACAAGAATATATAAATATTCCTATAAATTGTTCAAATAGAATTAAGTGAGCTAGTACAGATAAAATTCTCATCAGAAAATATTACACATAAGCCAGCTAGATTTCTTGAAAATTACAAATGCATTTTGCCAAATCTTTATTTGAATTAATTTAATATGTCTTCTCATATGATACAAGAATCAAAATCTGATTACACACGATTCTCAGAAGATGTCTAGCACAATATAATCATGCTCACAAGAAACAACAATAAAACAAAGTAAGATAAAAATAAACTAGAATATTACCTCCTCCTGTTTGTAGAAATATGTCAGATCACCCTCTGCTGTCAGTTTAACTGAATCAGGCTCTATCAAAAATTAACATGATCATTTTGTCAAAAATTAATTCTTAACGAAATTGTTCATTTTATAACACATATTTTCCTTTTATTTTATTTTTTTGTACAGAAGTTCATCCCATAGGAAAGAAGGGGGGTTCAAAGCTAGTAACTTTTAACTATAATGTTTAATCATAAGGTTAAATTAAAGTTGTCAGGAAATTATAGGCTTGTAATGTCATAAACAAGAAATTCACAAATACGGCAACATTTACTTCTAATGCTTGTATATATGATTGATACATATATGCTGTAAAACACATCATTATCAATTTATATTAAAGTTAATTAAAAACTCTGGCAACTAGAAGTACATGTATATAGTCTTACGTCCAATGCTGTTGTTGATGGCCTCCTGAGCTTTCTGGATTCCAAGCCTAAATTCCTGAAGTTCTGGTCGTAACTTGTGACCTCTGTGGAAGAACACTAATGCTGTTTCAAAATCCCCCAGCTGATACATAGCCTCCGCTTTCTGATACAAGCCCTGTGAATGAGTTTAACAAAGGTTATCAAAAAGCTGAACTGTTGCATTTTTCATGCAATAAAAAGCCTTTTTTTAAAAACATCATAGTACTTTTTAGATAAAACTTTTCATCATTATAGGCTTACTGGAATGAATTCTTTGTCTTGTCGCAGTGCTTCCTCTGCATCCATGAGAGCATTCTCTGCGTTGCCTAGTTGTAACCAACATTTTGATCGTGTGACAAAACATTTCTTGTCCTCTGGATTCATCTCAATGGCCTTTATAAAAATAAATTATTTTATATGCAGTTTCATAATTCTTCAAAGCAAGTCAGTGTGAAGTCTTTTTTCACATTAGAAAAAAAACAGTTTTTCTACACATTCATTGTTGTATATTTTCTAAAGCATATGATGGATTAGGAGAAACAAAAATGTTTAAATAACTTTCACTAATAAAATAATCTACTTAAATACCTTGAAACTTTTAGATAAAATTACCAGTAAGCAAATACAAAAGGAAGCAATTTGATTACAAGAATTATATACCCTTGTAAAGCTGTCGATTGCTTTTTGCCATAGTTTGACATGAACAAAATGTTCTCCTTCATCACGAAGTGTTTCGAATGTCCCAACCATTTCCTGGTTTTCAGAACCATTGTCACTTCCTCCTCTTCGCGGCATAATTAAATAATCTGTGATAATCTGGATTACTCCCCAATAAACCGATTAATAAGTTAATTCTTGCCGTTACCAAGTGTTGTTTACAACGGGCACCTGCTCTGTCGGAACTCCTCTAGACTCTTCTTATTCATTGTCTTTAACGTGGTATTCCGAATGAAAACATACACAATGCCATAACAACGCAAAAATACCTTCAATTCACATGACAGTAAAAAGTATTTTTCATAAATCATTTTACATTTAAAATTTGATTTCTAAAAATATATATTTAATTTAACAATACATCAATTTTAAAACACCGTAAAATTTGGTAATTGAAAAGTTCGAAAATATTCAATCAACTAGCTTTACTTAACTATAACATTGTTTACAAATGGCGGACGAACCAAAAGAACACGAAATGAAAGAAAGCGACAATCCAGAAAAGAGTTTAGAAGATTTTGTCACAGAACATTATAATAAACAAAAAGTAAGTGGTAATAGTTGTCTTTAATGGGAAAAAACGTATTCAAGTGCAGGACACGTCTGTTATCACACGTCTTTTGAACAAGTTAATGGCATCATAGATACATGCATAACATGTACAATGTAGGGACTTGTGGGCATCATCACACTTTACTATTTCACTATTTGATTTGTTCCAGAAAGAAGGAAAAATGGATGCTACCGAGGAGATTGATGACAAAAGGACCATGGACTTTTTTGCACGAGCCATGTCAGAGAGTAAAAGGTTAGTGTTCCATTAATTTGATTCTAAATACATATAACTTGATACAGTGCCTTGCTTAACATTTCCCCTGAAAGACCAACAGCTGACAGTCTTTGAGGCAAAAATATGGATTTTTTTTTTGGCGCAGGTGGTAATTCACTGGCCATTATCTTGCACAATTTTGACAATTTAAAGTTATATTATGCCTTGCTTAACATTTCTGCCAACAGCTGACAGCCTTTGAGGCAAAAATATGGATTTTTTTTTTGGCGCAGGTGGTAATTCACTGGCCATTACAATTTTGACTAACATCAAACAGTGTCCCATAGAGGTTCACATCAGAGGTCAAATTCTATCAACCAATCAAATCATCACCTGCAAAATCATTGTATATTTGTTGAAGTGAATAAGTCTAGAGTTGTTCCGAATTTGACCTCTGACGTGACCCTCTATGGGATGTTGTCAGATGTTAGTGTAGCGAGTGTGCGAGAGGATCCAAGATCTAATTTTAATTGGATTGCAGTTTTGACCTTTTGTTTGGTTGGCCCTCTAATTTAAATCCTTCAGCATAGTCAGGCCATTCGTAATTTTTAAGCCATTTGCAATTTCTTCATTTTTCTTTTTTTTTTTTTTACCAGACCTGGATATAAGGTTTATTAAGCCCCATTACTGAACTTCTCGTACGTGCACTGTGGTACAAGTACTGTATTTCTGCATTTACATGAAGTAATACACCTGACTAATTTTTTTTTTTCAAGAATCTAAATATCTTACAAATAACACATCTGAATGAAGAATTTCTTTCTCATATATTGTGATAAATATTTCACGCCTATTATATTTTGGTACATGTATTTAAAATAATTCTCCAGGAGGATAATTTTGATGAAATTAATGATTTGACAGCAAATAAATTTCTCTGTGTCTAGAATTTTCTGTCATCTTAGGGATTGCATATTTTCTTTTGTACATTAATATTAATATATGTAAACCATAAAATGAGAAATTGTTTTGTTTTTAAACAGGATGAACTTAGAAGTAAACAAGTCAGAACAGAAGCTGGCTAAGCTACATGCTGAGTTAGGGAAGGAGAAGGTGGCTGCATGGCAGGCCGAGCACGCAGCTGAAGTTCTCACACCAGAGCAGATGAGGCACATGGGATTCCAACAACCCTCTTGAATTCTTTTCAAAATGGATATTTGCAATTTTTTTTTTAAGTGAAGGACTAATTCTGTACTCAGCGATAGACAGTCTACAGAATCAATTTACTGCTTGCGGATGGTTTCAAATGGAGAAGCTAGTTTATACACATATCCTGAACTTTCAACATCATTATAGCTAAGAATTTCAATATATTTGCATTCCTGTACATATTTCATTGCATTAATTGTAACTGTTTGTGTAATGATAAAATATAAACAAATATTTAAGTCTTAAGAAAATTTTTATTTTTAATATTTACAGTGTTTATAAAATCAATATAAATGGGCAAAACTGTTTACATTTCCAAGTTGTCATGATCCCTACTAATACACAAAATTGCCCTTTTGTCTTCTTCCATTCTTAACTTTTCATTTCAAGAAGTTTTAGTGAAGTCAGAATATTGCACATTGTTAATAAAACATAGGAAATTTGTTCTTATTGAGCACCACCATGATTTCTTTTAACTTTACAATGTTTCTCGTTCATTTATCACAGCATTTCTGTGTCACGTTCAATTCCCACAAATCTCAGTTGTTCAGTTGGACCATAGCTGTAAAAAAGTATTCAAAATTTTGATCTCTTGTAAACTTTAAGCTTTCTTTTCTATTGAACTCTTACATTAGAGGGGCCTGAATACAGTTGCATTGCTGAGTTGCAGTTTGAAAATTTTTATTAAAAAATAGCATCAGTTCAATTATATGAATTTATGCAATTCTTAAAATTCAATGACAATGACCTTCTTCAAAACAGAGCTTTAAATGTTTTTAAATATGTTTGAAAACATATCAATGGGAGGAATTTATAATAAAAAATACTTTTGAATACATAAAAAAAGGAAAAAGTTTTAAAGAAAAAAAATTATTCATCATGCACCAGATTTAATCTCTAATACTCTTTGTTTATGAAGAATGGACTGTACTTACCGATAATCAAAGAAGAGTTCTTCTCCTGCTTGTATTGGACGCTTGGCAAATATCCCGATCCTGTGGTCCCCATTCACCATCATTACTTTGGCATAACAGTTGGGGTTCACAGAATGATTGGCAAAGCGGATTTTGTTACCCTTTCTTGTGGCATCCACAACAAAATCTATTAAAAAATGAAAATAATCAATTCTACAAGTAAGCAAATCATTGGATAGAAAAGGATGTTGTCTGAGAAATCATTGGATAGAAAAGGATGTTGTCTGAGAGATATGTAATTTGTGTTATGATTTTAATCATGATTTCTATCAGTTATGCAAATTTATATTCTCTTACCATTGTTGAGATTGAATAAAAAGCTACACATGTATTTGTCATATACTTTTCCTCTTCTGTCGGCCTCATCCTGTGATATTATCTACAGAACATAGAAAGAAAATACTCCATCTATGAAAACATGGTTTTATACATGTATATTTAAAAAATACACCATTAAACAAATAACAAAGTAAGATGAATTAACCTAGATATTCTTATAATAAATCTGTATATCAATTTCATTTCAATATGTGCAACCTCTGCGAAGAAAATAAACGGAATCTGATGGAGGACGGCACACAGACCGACTGACTGACAGACAGCAGCAAAGCAATATACCCATCAGAAGTAACATACAAAAAAAAAAGACTTGCCTCTCCACAATACTCTGATATAAACTCATTCTTCTCTGCTGGAACTTTAAGAAAGATTCCCCAGCCTGCAATGTCTGATGGAGCTAGAAGGAGGTGCTGTGAAATAAAACAATTAAATTTAAGTACTTGCACTGTACTTCTACACGAAAAAAAGCAATGTCTTTATATTGCTTTAAAGTTTTCCTACCTTCTTTAATCCTCTCTGAACACTAACATTCTTGCAGGAAATTTTATCAGTATTAAATTGATCTGTATAGAAAAAAAAGACAAAAATATTTAAATGAAAATACAAAAATAAAATTAAAACATTCTCAAAAGATTTGATTTATGTTTAAGCCCAATATGACCTTTGACCTACCTGCCCCACACATCTGACAGAGATCAGGGTCACATTCACGGACTGCCAGGAAGCAGGGACATTGTTTTGTGTTACACTGAGCCTTACACCTACAGCCTGGGAATCGGTTCTCACCTACAAACAGCAGAGGGAAGTGCATTAAGTCATTCTTAGCTATAAAACATATATACAGTAAAACTCGGATATAACAAAATCACATAATTTGTTATATCTGTATAAGGAATTCCGAAAATTTAAATGGCTGGGGATCCGATACTACTTCGCTATATATCCGTGAATTTGCAATATCCGTGTTTGTACTAAACAAGTTTTACTGTATTATTTTTGACTCAAAAATTTGTATACAGTCTTCTAAAAGAAAGAATGCTAAACAAATTTTGACTACACATATTAAAAGATAAAATGTATTCATTGTGCATCTTCAGGTGAATGTTTTATAATCACTATCAGTCAGGCCCATATCCAAAATCATCACCAGATACACATTATGACAAGTCATATAATGCTAAGTTTTTATGATATACATGTACATTTGTACACGTAACAGAGACTGGAATGAGACCAAGAACTATTTTTTTCAGGAGTTACAAATTAATTTAACATTAAAAGATTTTAGTAATGCTCATTGCAATTTTTTTTCCTGATAACTTCCACAATTACAAGTAGTAAGACAATGGCAATTATATGAGAATTACTTTTGTAAAGGTATGACAAATTATAACACGTACAATCACTACTGCACTGACAGAATTTCTCGCAGAAGTTCTGTGACATGATACAGGGACAGTTCTCGTCACATCGGAGTCCAGGGTGGTCACAGGGCTGGTAGTTATGAACCATCTTACTGCTGTTATTATCCTTCTTCAGCTGAATCTTCCGGCAGTGCATGGACCACAATCTACGAGAAACAAGTCAATCAGTTTGATAAATACCATATACCAAAATTGTCTAAGGATCAGATTATCTTTATTACTTCACTTCTGCTGACAGAATGGATTCTCATTATCAAATACTGTGTATAGGGTAATTGGATGTTGTTCCTTACTTGTGCTTTTTCTTGGCCTTCTTTCTGGGCGGAGTTAATGTTTTGTCTTCTGTGATGTCTGGAATGTGGGCAGCTTCCTTCAGGGCAAAGTTATAAACCTGCAATATCAACAATTTGGTACAAAATTATAAAGGAGAAAAAAATATCAATTTAATTTCTCAAAGAATACAGTTACATATTTATAATCAAAATATGTACTTAATATATACATAGTTGCTTATTCCATTTTGAACAAAATTGAAATGCTGAAAATTCAAACATCAATATCTCAAATACCAGGAAATAGAAATGTGATTTGGCAGTCCAAACCACCTTTTCTTTGGGTTTTTTTAAACAAAAATATCTCGAATACTTGGATATCTTAAAAGTAAAATCCCTGTCCCATTGAGTTAGTGATAACAAAATTAGACTGTAATTGAATATTAAAAGTAATGAGATCTTCTGATTGTAGATTCATCCAAACACACCTGTACACAGGATTTGGTGCGAATCAGTTTAGCGATAGCGCAGTAGTTTGTTCTGTGCATGTCTTGGATGACTCTGAACAAAGATTCCTCAGCCGGTAGCCAGTCATCTGTCTTCTGTTTCTCCTGCTTAATGTCCACACTGGATCCTGAAATAATGTTGTTTCTTTACAATAAATCCACTTAACAATTCATGATTTCAGAAATAGTTTTAACAACATAAATACATAAGAAACTGATCGATTGTCAAATTGACACTGACCAATATTCATCTCATATTTTTGGGTAAAAGACTTCCAAATAATAAATGTACAGTTTGTATTGTACTATTCATAATTTTCATAAGTTCCTCTAAGCAGTACATTAACTTCTTCCTTTACCCTAAAAATATTAAAGTTGAATTTTTATTTATTTTTACCAAAATGACATATAAAATTTTTTACCTTTTTTTTCATAAAGTGCAAACATTAGATATTTAAATATAATATTGAAACTGAATATGCAATGCAAATTCATGTTTTATGCAGTTATTTTTAAAATACATAAGTACATGTATAAACTATAAAACAAATTGTGATTAATTTTAAGATTTTTTAGAAAGATTTGGCTCGTAGCAATTGTTCTGAAAATTACAATACATGTACCACATTATCAAACATACATAAATATAGCATACACCTATTTACTGGCTATGAGGACAACAGCAAGTTTATCGTCCCCCAAGACAGCAAACTATTTCCCGAGGCGCAGCCAACTGAAATAGTTTGCTGTCGAGGGGGATGATAAACTTGCTATTGTCCTCATAGCCAGTAAATAGGTGTTTATTATACCGATGCTGACTTTACGAACATTATAGGGGCTACTTTTAAAATGCAATTATACTGTTTTAAAATAGTTAGAATTATTATACCAATGCTGACTTTACTTTTGTTATGTCATTATATATATATGTCACAATCCGTATAAAATCAGAAGTTTTCCGAGATGAAAAGCGAGGGAAACAGAATGTTGGCGGTGAATAGTTTGATGACTATTTCACCATGGGCAGATAGCACAAAAACTATTTCACGATAGGTGCTGTTTGGAAAAGACAGCATGTTTATACGTAATATTTTTATATAGAACAAATTCACAGAGGTATAATAATTTAATATATATGACTGTGCAAGAAGAAAGGATCATGTCTTAACTTCTCGCAAATGTTGCCATATAGTCTACAAATGTACAAAAAAATGTCATGTACCAGAGGTTCTTCACCATTTTGAAGAAAAATATTATTCTCATTTTAAATTTGCAATTCTCTTTGTTGTACAATATAAAATCAATATAGATTTTTTTTAAAGACAATTGTGTGTACATGTACCAGTTTGAAAAAAAAGTAGTCAGGAGAGTTTTCAAAGATGTTCTAATCATCTGTCAGATCCATCTTTCATCCCATCCCTCCAATAACAGTAACCTTCTTTTAAAATTGTAAACAAAAATAGATTATACAATAGTATAGATGAAACTTTGTATGAGTGATGTGTAAATAAACTAAATTAACATAATAGGAATTTTCTAACCAGTTCTATATATGTCCATCATGCTTTCATCAGAAGTATGCAATTTGCAGAGGGTCCAAATCTGACAGCAAAATATGCACACAATTATTTTAATTTTGAAACAAGGGTTTTTTCCCTGCCTATCATTTTAAAGCACATCCACCTTTTGAGTAAATTAGAATTGTGGTAGATAATAAGGTAAATTAGGTTTA